CATGGAACTCCTGCTGTGAAAACTTGTTATAGATCAGAAATGTTCTACATCCTCTTTCTTTTGAATTATGTTCAAAGGGATGTTGAATTTTAATAGCGTTATGTGAAAGAGCTGAGTGAAATCTCACTGAAGTTGCTGGACAAAATCATCACCTTTCTTTCAAGATAACTGTAAGAAACAAGCAAACTCTCTTATGGAGCCTGATAACTGAAATTACAGAAGTTATCATCAAAACCAAGAGAAATGTGAAGCATATGGACCCATGAGTTTCTCTAGAAACTGATATGCTTAATGCCTGGAGAGAGGCATTAATCAAGGCAAGATGATTAATCCAGATAGGTAGCAAAAACATGTAAAAGGAATAAAGAAACCACCAGCACAGCTCAACAAAATAGTGTTGTGATTCTCATAGAAGAAAAGCTGAAAAAGAAGTTGGGGGTAAAACACTGGGTAAATGAAGTTTGGAAAAAAGAAGTTATTGCCTGTTATTTGATTCTGCCTTTGTTCAAGGAAATAAATCTCTGTACTTTCTTTGTAAATAAAATGGAACTATATCAAAGCAAAACTCTATCCTGAGGATGAATTATCTTTCCAGCTGAGAGGAAAACAACCCACAGACTTGGCAAATTGTTTAACCACTCAGGTAAAAATGGATTAATACCACGTGAGGAGAGGAATCCAGTTTTCAAGAAAGGGAATGGCGAGGTGGAATTCCCACTGACCCAAAACAGAATCATTGAAGGAGGTATCTCTCAGAAATAGTAATTGGTAAAAAGAGATGAAAACAAGACCAGATGAAATTAAAAGAAGACATAAATCAGCTGGAGGCTTTTCAAAATTAATTAAAGTAGTAGCTGGAAAATTTTCAGAGCGGTGTAAGAGATGGCATGCAGGCAGAGATGAAATCTCTCTTTAGCTGCAAACCCACAGTATCCAGACAGATTAGGAGGCCCTGTGGCAAAACAGATCAATGAGATGACTGACAACACAACTCCTGCAGGCTACAAAGTTTCCAAAGAAATAGGTAAGCCAGGAAAGTTGGAACTAACTTGGCACTTGCTGACTTAGAGAAGCTAGATCAGGAATGTCAGGAGCTGGAGAAAAGGGACACAGACATCCATGGAAGGTTGATGCCTGGAAGTGGCCTTACACCATTAGAGAAGTGTGAGTATTATTATCAATATTATTTTACAACATATACAGAAGCTGTTTGAACACCATTTGAAAATGACCGATACACAAGAGTCTGGACTATCTCCAGGTCAAAAAACTGAGTCTTTGAAAGAAAAAAATCCATCAAAGTAAACTCTCTCAGGTCAACATGAAAACCCAAATGAATAGGAAGGTGTGCAGAAAACGCAGTCTAATGGCCAGCTCTAGTGGATTAAGTTAGATGGCGCTGAAGAACAACACCTGCCCTTCTTCCTCACCTTACCAAAAAGACATTCTCTTCCAAGAAGTGGTCTCTAGTGACATGATTGAAGCTGGTCCCCCTCCAGTCCCACAGTGGTAGGAGCCATGGATCTGCTCACCAGTAGTAAGAATGCTAAACAAGATGAACCTGGACAAAATATCATGCATGTTTTATGAAAAAGCTTTGCCCAGTTTGGAAAAAAGAAGAAACTAAGCTGACCATGATCTTTGTTCAGATCTGTGCAACATGAAAACAATAAATGAGAATTTGATTGCTGAGTGCCTAATAGCACTTGCACAAAATACTGGGCACTGGATCAGCACAACAGGTTTTAGAGGGGCCTGCCAATAAAACTAGGAAAAAAAGATTATCCCAAACTTAATAATCTGTTTGGTCTTAAATAGAGATCATGGATGTGACCACATGATGATGTAGATGGCAGACATGAAGAGCAGCAGACTCTGCAGAGCAGTGTTAGAGGTCAGGAACTGGGCTGCTTTTGGGAGAAGCTTCCTCCAGATACATCTGTAGCAGTCTCCCCTGAATAGTTGGTCTAAAGTAAAAATTACAAAGTAAATACTGTGACACTCTATCAATCCATTCTTGGTGGGCCACTAGACATTGTAGACATTGTCACTGATAGGTGGAAGGGTCTACCACAAATTGAAGGGAAACTAGCTTTAGAAATTGTGTCTCTGAAATTTGGGTGTAAAATTTAGACAACCAAGACAAATTAGGAGCAGTTTGGATTTCATTATGGATATCAGCTGTGTTGTAAGTGCCAAGAAAGCTGTCTTCAAGTAAAACAAATGCTTTGTAGACAAGTGTTTTCTAGAAATCAGCTTGAAATGCTTACAGGAGTGGAAACAATTGTAAAAGCTTCTTGCTGGGGTAGCCTTTCAGCCAAGATAAAACGGAGTGGCTGGTGCCCACCATGCAAGGAGGCTCCTGGGAATCTTAGCAGCTAAGTCTCTGCAAAAAAAAAGGAAGCAACACATCTAGTAAATATTGTCACAGAAGGTGATGCCAAGCTCCAAGAGGTTTTGTTGGGCTTGCTAAAGCATGACATTGTGTATTTAGACAAGGAAGAGCAGAACAGTCCCAGGTCTCTCTGGAGTCAGTCACTCTTCTCACTATCAGGCAGAAAACTGCTTCACTGAGCACACAAGAGGGGAAAAAGGCAACACAGCCCAGCAACAGCTGGTACTAAGTGGAGGAGGGAGAGGGAGGAGAACCACTGAGAAGATGTATCAGGAATGAATAACTGAATCTTTAAACAATCCCTGGTGGCAGCATTATGCTCTGTATAAACTACAGAAAACTGCATTCAAGTAAACATCAAAGGATTCTGCTCTGACTGGAGTTAACACTCTTTTTTTCCATAGCAAGTTCAGGCTTCCCCACTTAAACTTAAAATAGGTACTATTAGGTGAAAAATGGATGTAAACCTTGCTCCTGCATCTGGACATAAGCCACAACAACTTCAAGCCATGGCTTTTGACTTGTACAATGGACATACTACATTTCAGTGGTTATGGATGCAGTGTTCTGTAAGGAATTAACCTCTTCTGCTTTGCTAATTACACCTGGTTGATACCTTGGGCCACGTAAAACCTTGGGACAGGAACTGGCATTGACAGTGATCTGTAGGAAGTTTAAGAAAAGTGAGATATGTTGAAGACATCATCAAAATAAATGCAAGAAACAAACTTTTCTATGAAATCTATTAGAAGAAACAATAAAAGAATCTCTCATCAAAAACGGACATATAGTCGCCACACTTGAGTAGAAGCTGAATCATGGTTGTCAAATGGTTTCTGTGGAGATTTACAGCAAATCTTGTGGGGACATGGAGTGGACTTTCACTGATGGATAACTGGGAGGAGAAACAGCTAAAAACAGCAGAAGGAAAGTGAAGGAAAGGGAGGACTCTCCACTCACAAATAGCATGAAGAAAAAAGTCACGAAAGAGACCTTTTGAGTACAAAGTTGGAATTAAGAAGACTGGATCACAGAACAAAGAAAAAATGCTTCCCTTCTAGTCACTCCATGTTTGTGCAAGCAGTTTGCCTAACTGTTCAAATTAGAAAGGGAAAAGAACAAAATGTATTGTTTATACTATGTTGGCATGATTAATTCTTATTTCTGTGTTAGCAGTAGTGCTTATACAAAGTTTGATATTTAAATACCTTAAAAAATGAGAACACATTTTTTTCAACATGTAAAGGTGCAGTTACAGGTACAAATGTAGAAAACATAAATACAAAAATGTGTAAAAATATTCAATTAAAAATCCTGGGCCTTAGGAACCATAGAATTCCATTACACAATCGCTAACACAGTATTTGATTTTGCATGTTTAACTTAAGAAACTGATTTTCAATATCATGACTGATATAAGGAATCTACTCACCAAGGGAAAAAAGATACTGAAGAGAAAAATCACAAATTAGTTGAAAATTTAAGCCAGAACAGCAGCTAAACTGACTTCAAGCAGAAATAATTTGCTCTGGAATTCTAAAAACCAGGTCCAAAGTACCATACACTGATCATTTTAATATCCAGGCACCCAAATGCAAACAAAATTTTGTCTTGATTCCTCATTAGAGACAGTAGGAAATTATGACATGACAATTGTCTTCAATAGGGGTCTAATCATAGATCAAGTGATGCAGGTGAAGAGAGAAGATGATTTCAAATGATGCAATCTCCTAAAATACAATGGCACTTGTGAAATTTTTATGTAGATATTCTTTATCTTGAGAACAAAACTTTCTAAATTAATAATGCAAAACAACAACAACAAAAATATATGTTTGTGCTGACAATAAGCTCAGCTGACCTCCTTCACAGCTTCAATAAGCTTTCAGGCAAACTTTTCCACTTAAAGGAATATCTAATGCAGCTTGTTTGTCACACAATCACACAAACCCTGGTGTCTGTTTGTCCCAATCTGAGAGTTACATGAGCACGTAAAAATCTGCATGCAAGTGAAGCTCATGTTTGTGCATTAGTGAGCACTGCCTTTATCCCCAGACCTGCAAAAAATTATGCACCTAGTCAACTTTATGCAGCAGAGTCTTAACTCAGCCTTTAACTCAGCTACCTGTCGTAGGGAAAATGCATAAGAATTAAAGCATTTGGGGAACTGGGGCACCTGCAAAGTAGGTTTCAAGAGAAAAATTTATGGCACATAGTGTTAGGACCTTTTTGATCTGAAGAATGACAATGAATTCTGGCTACACTCATAAGAAGGTCAGGCCCTCTGAAAATCATGGAGTCCCTGGCAGCAGCTAATTAGAGACCTGGTCTAAAGTTTGGAACTAAAATATGAACACTTTGGCCTGAGGATTTCAATATAATTTCCATTATTCAATGTAATTTCAACTATTTTTTAGCAGGGCTTGTCAAATACAGAAACTTCTTTAATATCCATGAATTAGACTTTTAAGACATCTGAACTAAGGTTTTTCCACCTACTGTGACTCAAGCACAACAGATTCTTAACCACCTTACATTTTTAGAAGCACAGGAAAACATTTGACTTGTAACATAAATTCAGTTTTCAAAGAGATGTTTAACTCACCTGCCAGAAGTCAGCAACAGTAGCAGTGAGAGGGCCCTGGGTGGCAATATATGCTGGGTTTCGGGGGTCATGGTCCATCTGGAATAAGGAGACAGAACACAAACTGATGTTATTTAAAAGAAAATTCCTTGCTGCTTTAGAGACAGAAAATATGTGAGGGCAGAAACAAGGGACTTCCTAAAGGACTGTCATGTCCCTCCATCCTTTATTGGCAAGCAAAGAATTTTATTTCTATTTATAAGCTCAGAGAGCACCTTTTTCCGCAAGACTGATGCTACCAGGTGAATGCCAGCACACATGATGAGCAATGTCCTATGTCCTTAATATGCAGCATAAAATCATTTATGGTGGGTGATAAAGGCATTTATTTGAGATCAGTACTCATTGTTTCATAGCAACATAGGAGCTATTTGAAACATTTTTCTACACTAAGTGTTAATTAAGAATGCTCCGCACACCTCTACATATGTTCTCCATTTCCACCATTCCAGTCAAGGGCACAGGTAGCTAAAAACCAGCAAAAATGGGGAACAAATGCAGTTTCTGGCTTTTTCTAGTTAGCTGATTTATCTCAATGCATGGATTTGGCCTCAATGGAGGAAGTTATGCTTAAAGACCTTAATTATTAGTTAACTCAAGGAGCAGAAAATTCACTGATCAAAAAAAATAAAGAATCTAAGAAACAAAGCCATCAAGAGTAAATAGGATTACTGTGTTACAATGAATGTTTTTGAACTGATGGGTGGTTTTCTTGGTTCTAAATCTGAGGGCCCTTTCTGCTGAAAAAGAAGACCTGCTGATGGGATTAAAAACAAAACAAACTCATTCCAGCCCCGAACTGGGCAAGACAAAACTTTGAACATAAAGAAAAGAGACCCAGTTCAGCTCTCAGTTGTGTGGGTGTGACTCAGTGACACTGAAGGTGGTGAGAGTTAACTTATACCCATGTAGCTGAAGGCAGAATTTGTCTCAACACACAATTCTGTTCTGTAAGTAAAGATCTGAATAAGAATGAATGTGACTCACATTTGCATTAGGAGACATCTTCTGAATTTATTCATAGCCTATCAAAATTTTCAGTGATGGTACATGTCAGCGTAAAAGAAGGCACCTCATAATTATGTGCAACATAAAAGAGGGAAGAACCATAAAAGAACAGATGCAAGTTATTCTAACAGAACAATATGATGGATGTTGCAAAAAGTAAGAGAACGCTTTTATGTTTCTAATTTTCTGATGTATAATTAAGCTGGACTTAATATTAAAATTCTCCATGACAACACGATACAGGTAGAATGAAGTCACTGTATCCATTTAAAACAAAAGCTTACATCTAATTCACCATCCATGGTTATAACAAGCCTTGACCAGGATGTCTATAATACCATTATTTGATTTTGAGCTCGATGGAGATGCTTCTCTTATCAGCAAATACCTCTTCACAACAAGCAATTGCTCACAACAAATTTCAACCTTGCTTTCTTTGCCTTTTGACAAAAGCAATTCTGATAGCAGGACATTTACTGCTGTGGGTGGTTTGAGATGGGGAAAAAACTAGCTTTCTTCAGAGAGCAGCATTGGCAAAACAACCTTAGGAGTCATGTCAAAATAGGCAACTTTTTTGTTTTTGTAAGAACTGAGACACTGAATGAAAAACAGCTGAAAAGAACAGCAAATGTGATTAAGAAAAGTCAGGCTTGAAGGGTTGTGTTGTTAGTTTTTTTCCACTATGCTTGAAAAAATTTCTGTTGTTTTGTTTTGAATCCCACAGAGAACTATATGATTTAATCATATGCTCAAATGTTTTCCTAGGAAACATTGACCTGCACCGCAGAGGACTTGCTGCTCCCAGTGGAAACTGTTGTGGGCTGTATCTACTTCAAAATGATGTCACTTGTTTAAAAGGCAAGAGCCTGACTTGGAAATGTAACTGACAGCAAATACACCAAACTTTAGAAATATAATAATTTACTTTGAATTTCTTCTTAAACGAAATCCTTTTGTATGGATACGTGCCAGAAAACAGAGGCAGAAGAAGCCCAGGATGATGCAAATAGCTCTGTCACAGACAAAATAATTCTCAACATTCAGCTGATAAAACAAGAACAGGCCAATCTTGGCATTTCAGCATTAATCAACCTCTGTCACAAAGGTGCTGTTGGAACGTGGCAAACATTACAATAAGCACAGAGTGGTGAAGTGTATCAGCAGTTTAACAATAATTCAAAAGACAATTACAATTATTATATTCCAAGCACATTGTGTTGCACAGAAAACAATTATGAGCAGAAACGCTCCTGGCTTGGAGCAAGCAGAAGATGGCAGAAAGCCCTATCACACTATTAAATGATTTTTTACTGAACAAAAATAAGAGCAAAGATTAAACTAATTAAATGAAATTCCTGGTTTCATCAGTTTTCTAATATATGTATTGTTTTAAAGGCCACATATTTCAAGAAAAATGTGAAAAATCCCTACTCTAGGCACACTGGATTTAATGTCAGTAGGTGACTCCAAGGGACAACTCGTGAATATTTTTGTTATGTTCTTTTTTTATTCTCTCAAGGTCACCAAGAACACCTAGGGCATCTTAATCTATCAAAGTTATCAGAGGTTTGAATAAAGAAATAAAGTCAGTAATGGGTTTTAAACTAACTAATCAAGGATCCAGTAAAAGGCTCTTTTTTTTTGGTTTGTTTTATGTCAGTAGTCATTATCTTCTTTCAAGGATGCCTCAGATTTCTCACTTCATGAAAATAAAACAGAGTGTATTCTCCAGAGAAGAACAGAAAACAGCAGGCTCCATACTGTCAAGTATTATAACAAAAATTAACTATTTACTAACGTTTTACATCAGAACAACCTTCAGAAATTACCCTAATAGTAATCGTTCAAAAAGAACAGTATTTTTTCCTCTATGTCCCTGTCAAAGCATGAAGTTCACGAGGCTTACATCAGAACTGGATTGAACAGCCATTTTTGGAAAGAAAAAGCTGCAATTATTACAATAGTTCTGCTATGGTGGAATTCTCATTTTTTTCCTGTTGTACTTTGCAGTACAACAAAGGCAAGGCTCGTGATAATGTTTCAATCTGGTTTTTTTCCATGATTTTACATTAGGGGAAGAAAAGGATCAAGGATACTATAACTGACCATGCAATTGACTGTGATGATTTTTGTCACTACCACTGTCAAAAGAAAATGGAAATAAGTGAAGAAATTTCAGATTTACTGTTGGAGAAGAAATAAGACAGAACACTTCAGTGGCACAAGGTGTTCTACATGGCTTTGTAATATAAGCTGATTTATAGTGTCTTAAAGTAGGAAAATAGATAAAGAAGACAGCATCACGATTAGTTGCACCATTGTTAAATTAGTATCAGACCACAATTCTACCTTTGCTTTACTAGAGAACAAAAGCTACTCCTTTAGTTTTTTCCTGCCAAATCCCAGGAATTTGTAAGGTTTCCCTGAAGAACTCTGAATCTTATTGAGTTTTTAGATAGATACAGTGTTGCTGCATGATTTCACAGATAATGTTGATGAACTATAGCAAAATCAATGCATTCTGAGAGTAAACCCTCACATTTCTTGTATTTGGACTTGACAGTAGTACATAAAGATACTTGTTAAACAGTCTTCCAAAACCGTAAACTGAAGTAAAAGTGTCAATAACCATCAGTGACCATTTTGAAATCTCATGTAAATCTCCTGATACACCAATTTGCTCCTGCCCTTTACCTTCCCCCTCAGCTTATCAGATCCTTTCCACACAGAAAGATGCTGGGTAAGATGTAATCTCAGTCACACCATATTTACCTTTATCTAAATACTTTGAATCCAGCTGAAATAGCCTTAAATCATGAGACCAGAATGAGATCCAGTGTAGACTAAACATGATGTAAAGAAAGTTGAACGCTGATTAACACCTTAAAATTTGTATGGATTCAAGCTACTGTGCAGTTGCCAGATTTTTATGTGTTTATAATACTAATAAAATCCATGTTCATACATGTGTTTATTACAGAGTATAGACAGTCTTCAAAAATAAAGTATATTTGTTTTTGCAAAAGAAAGCATACCCAGCAAATGCAGATGAACTTTGTAATCACAGTCATCTCAGCATTAAAATTAAAAAGGTAGACTAGTCCTCATCTTCATGTTTGAATTAAAATTTAAAACAATTTAAAAATCTCCTTCCTTTAAAACCCCTAATGGATTGAAATAAGTAAATCTGGTTGTGAATGTCATTATGAATTTCAGAGTCTATTCTTGGTGATGAAATTTGTATGCCGTGTTTGAACAAACTGTCAAGCTAATGACATTCCTCAGTCTGGTGTCTTCAATAATAAGCAAACTGAGTTTTTAAATGTAGTTGATGGGGGTTTTTTCTCTCTCAGACACCCTATGAGGAAAAACAGAATTCCCATTTACTTTCATGACCTCTGATTTAAAAGCAAAGATTGCACATTATTTACTACTGGATGATTTTCCTGAAATTTAATGAGGACTAAGTACAAATATGACAGATGCAATTATCACAGTTTTATTCTGCACAGTCAGGGTCTCCTTGTGCTGTAATTGCAAGCCTTTCATTCAGCTGCTGATAGCAGAGTTA